CGAAGGTGTTAGTTCAAATCACAGATGAGTTGTTCATTTCACAATTGAAATAATTACAATTTCCTGGGGCTGCCACTAGAGCTAAACAGCGTGTGCTGCATGTGACTGTGTGTGTGGCTTTGTATGTGTCTCTATCGGTGTATCTATTATACGATGTCTGCGTCTCTGTTTGTGTTGGTTTATGCGTCTGCCTGTATGTCTGTGTGCGTGTGACTGTATGCGGGCCTGTGTATGTATCTGTGTGTTTATGTGCGTGACTGTGACTGCATGCGTGTGTGTTTGTATGGGTGTTTTTGTGCGGCTACGTGTGTCTGTGTGGGTCGGACGTGTGCCTTTCTGTGCGGCTACGTGTATGTATGTATGTATGTGTGTGTATATATATATAGCTATGTGTGTCTTTATGTGTCAAGATTGTATGCGTGTGTGTTTTAGAGCGCATGTCTGTGTGGGTGACTGTGGTTATAAATTTATGTATGTATGTATGTATGTATGTATGTATGTATGTATGTATGTATGTATGTATGTATGTATGTATGTATGTATGCATGCATGTATGTATGTATGTATGTATGTATGTATGTATGTATGTATGTATGTATGTATGTATGTATGTATGTATGTATGTGTGTATGTGTGTATGTATGTATGTATGTATGTATGTATGTATGTATGTATGTATGTATGTATGTATGTATGTATGTATGTATGTATGTATGCATGCATGCATGCATGCATGTATGTATGTATGTATGTATGTATGTATGTATGTATGTATGTATGTATGTATGTATGTATGTATGTATGTATGTATGTATGTATGTATGTATGTATGTATGTATGTATGTATGTATGTATGTATGTATGTATGTATGTATGTATGTATGTATGTATGTATGTATGTATGTATGTATGTATGTATGTATGTATGTATGTATGTATGTATGTATGTATGTATGCATGCATGTGTGCATGTTCGTATTATGTGGACGTGTGTATTGGGTGCCTTTGCGTGTGTGTGTGTTCGCGCGGGAGCGTGCGCACATATTTTACCACCAATGCTTTTGTTTTTGACATCATATCCATAATATGCATATCATTACATGAACATAACACGCTTCATTGATAAAATACAACTACTGTGTGAAAGATGGGAGTTTGGAAGGGCCGAATGTAAGACAGGCCTGCGTGCCTAATTTGTAACCCTTTGAAAATAAAGTTGGTTCTTTCGTTCGTTCATTCTTCTGGCAGGTGGGTAGCAGTTAAGAGAAGAGAGACTGAGACATACTGGATAACACCTAGTGCAATGAAGCCAACCCATTCAACTTGACCTTTGACCCAACACACGGTAAGCGGCTATAATATCACAACCTAGATCAGCTATTCACCTGGCAGCATGCTGGACAAGTCTGACGCACAGAGACCTGGCCATCACTGACACAATAAGTACAACATTGACACAAACAATAGAACATTGACACAAACAGTACAACATTGACACAAACAGTACAACATTGACACAAACAGTACAACATTGACACAAACAGTACAACATTGACACAAACAGTACAACATTGACACAAACAATAGAACATTGACACAAACAGTACAACATTGACACAAACAATAGAACACTGACAAACATTACAGCATCATGGACAGCAAGTAGAAAAGACCACGATAAAATAAAATAAGACCATTATAAATTTAACAAAATGGTGGTTTATTTCAGCAACAAAGTTTTGTTGTTTTTATTACTTTTACTGTTTGTACCTGCTGCTATCACAATTGTGGCTATCAACTAACACTAAGTGGAGAACGGTTATGTCACACACAATAATAAGAATAAACTCACAGGGAGCAAGTACAGCGGGGATCTACAGTCATCAGTAGAAATTATCCTCTTTCGACACACGTTTCGGCCCACGATTCCTAAACGTATTCGGAGGTGGCCCACCTGAGTTCATGAAGCTCAGGGCTGCTTCCCCGCTGCACAGAATTACCGGATGGTGTTATTATTTCGGCCAGAGACAAGACGACTTAGTGGTTTCGAAGGAGGTACTGTGAGATAAGAAGTCGCCGCGACAGCGTAATTAGAACAGTCCGCATGCCTGGACGACCGAGCGACAAGCTTATTTTGGTTTACCGGACACATGTTGGACTTTTATTAGCAGTTGGCAGAGGGACACTGGCAGACAATTCGTACACGATGGACTTTTCAAAGGGATAAGAAACTCTTTTCCACAATATGAAGACATGCTCTTAAGTGTCACTTGCTTGGCTTATCTACCTGTTCAGGTCTCAACCAACACAGATACCAGATCTGACCTTGTTCCTTACAGAAGTGCACTCAGCTGTGAACTAACCCCTCAGCTGAAGTTCATATTTACAGTCAATTCTATTTATTTATCCACCTATTTCAAGACTGATTCACGTGTATATGTTTAGGATCCTCCTGCCCTTGATAATCATTCTCTTTACTATGTAAATGATTATGTTTCTACGCTATGAAATCAAGATTAACTCAGAAAGATATTAATCTATCACAGTTTTACTAGATGTCATCTTCCCACTTACATCGCTGTCTATCTCATGCTCTCTTGACTTCATCTTTTCCAGCCAATATGGTTTTCACTAGAGTGGCTAAATAAATTGTTTATATCTGTGTCTTGTGACTCTTTTCAGGGCATCTCTTTGAAATCTCAGTATTTGACTGTTCTTGTTTTCATGAAAGTCTATTTTTTTCTGTACATCCACTCTAATCGCAAACCAGAGGTGAAACCAACCTCGGACACATTTACACTTTACATTCATGTGGCACACCTCCCACTTTAGCTGATGTTGTTACACATAGTTTGGAAAGCTCTGCTCTAAATGTGAACATGTGTTACTGTTCATGTGAGTATCTGCCGCCCTTCCTCCTCTTGGTTATTTCTAGTTCAGTTCTGCCATCACCAGTTATCACACATCCAGGACAGAAGCTTGTTTCAAAATGACCTCTCCAGATAACAGGAAAAACATTTGAAAACTAATGAACTGCCCAAAAACTGCCTGTTTTTACCAGGAGGGTGGACCTGAAGTTTTAGAGGCTACTTTGGCTACTGCTACTGCCAAGCACTGTGCAAGATGGACTTTTATTTTTGCCTCTGACCTTACCGAGGATTCGAACCTAGGTCTACCATATGAGAGGCCTGCATTCTTAACCATTCGGTCAGCAAAACAACACAAATTATGACTAAGAAGTTCAAAGCAAGGACAGTAAAGATACACAGATACAACTCATGAGGGATAAATGCTCGCTCTGTATCATTTCATTCAACATAAACACAGCAACAGTGTTATTTACTTATTTAAAATCTGCTTCTATTAGTGATTTGTGATTAGAGAGGATTATCATCACAGCACTCGGGACAGATCCATAGGTGCTCCGATCTCCTTCTCATAAGCTCCACATGTGCAAAACGATGACGCCTATTCTGTTTTGATTAATAAAACGTCTTGTCCCCTTAGTGAAATGTTCATTTCTTGCAGCTTCAGACTGCACCCCCATGTCCATCAGTCTAGACAGGGATACGGAGTCATGTCCTTTGGCGTGCTCCTCGGTACAGTAAGTGCAGCGCATGGCATTGATAACATCTTCTGTCCAGTATTGGACCAGCCATAACAACGCAGTGTCAGCAAGATAATCTGCACGCTGGTTCCCTTGAACACCCGCACAACCTGACTTCTATTCCTCCATTTGACACACTTATGTCTGCATGTGTCTGTGCGGTTGCTCATTTTTGTAGTGTAACATTTTTGTTCTTTGTTTTTTTTCTTTATAAAGTTAACAGTGAAAACTTTCAGTGTTTTAGTCACCCCAATGTTCCACACTAAAGTATTTGGCATCCGGTCAAACTGGACGACAGGCACGGTCACTGTTATAGTTGTGGCAAATTGTTTAGACAGTGGCCATTGCATTTTTCTCCACTTGTAGACTGAACCGAGCTACTGAGCTTGATTGCATGGCACCCATTATGAGCTGCAGATTTCATTTGAAATGTTTTTCAACTGTCACCAACATGGTGTCGTGAACTATAGATTCAGAAAATGGTATGTAGCCTGTTGCCACAGAATTAGTGGTGCCTAATGTGATTAAATGTGATCGCGTGTGCAACTGCCAATCTGTCTGTAACTGCTTCTTCCGTTGATGATTAACTACATTTCTAGTGTCGGACTGTTTGTGTTAGCACCTCTGATGGCTACCTTATGGTTTTAATGCGTGTGTATGCTAGTGGATATACTGACACTTCAGTCTGTGTCAATCTTCCCACAAGAGACAGCGATGGACATCTGTGTGTTTTTCTGTCGACAAAGGAGCACAGCAATAATGGGATGACCCATTTGCAATGAAGCTGAAACCAAGATGACTAAAGTATCTGGATTGTCTTCACATTTTTCAGTTAGTCTGTGCTTTTATCTGTTTCTTAAGGGCTTGCCGGCTATCCTCAGAATAACGGTCCCAAATTATCGAGGCCGAAAATATACCCTAACAGGGCCTCAGTCACATGTCAATTGCGGACTTCCGGCGACTACCGCCTCGATAATTTGGGACCGTTATTCGGAGGATAGCCGGCTTCCCTTTTTTCTGAGTATCATTTCTATTGCATTTAGGTGTTTCTAGGCTTGTCTGTTTACTGTCCAGTTCTCACATCCATACAACAACACTCAGGAGGACTTGTCTAATCAAATTCCAGTATAGCTTGTTGAACAGTGTCAAAACTATTTCTTCTGAGTTCTACAAACAATCTGGACAACTACGATGTCAATCCTGTGACCAGCTTTCAGCTGAAGCATGTCATTTTACAAAGTGACAACGCTGTCTGTAACTTCAGAGAATCTGGCCAAAAAAACAAGATATCATATCTGTAACTTCAGAGAGTATGGCCGAGATCATGTCTGTCCTGTTGCTGCTTGTGGGCCAGTTACGAGGATGTTCTGCCAGCTGTTACTTTCTCTTCTTTTCAGCTGCTGGGGCCCTCTTGCTGTCCATCAGTCTCTAGATCCTCCTCCATCTCTGATGTTGTTCCCACCTAGAAAAGAGGAGACAATCGTGAACTAAGTAACATTTGAGGATGTTCTCACCTACAAAAGAGGAGACAATAATGAACTATGTGAGATCTGAGGTTGTTCTAACCTAGAAAAGAGGAGACAATAATGAACTATGTGACATCTGAGGTTGTTCTCACCTAGAAAAGAGGAGACAATAATGAATTATGTGACATCCGAGGTTCTTCTCACCTAGAAAAGAGGAGACAATAGTGAACTATGTGACATCTGAGGTTGTTCTCACTTAGAAAAGAGGAGACAATCGTGAACTAAGTAACATTTGAGGTTGTTCTCACCTAGAAAAGAGGAGACAATAATGAACTAAGTGACATTTGAGGTTGTTCTCACCTAGAAAAGAGGAGACAATAATGAACTATGTGACATCTGAGGTTGTTCTCACCTAGAAAAGAGGAGACGATCGTGAACTAAGTAACATCTGAGGTTGCTGCCATCTAGAAAAGAGTAGACAATAATGAACAAAGTAACATCTGAGGTAGTTCCGACCCAGAAAAGAGTAGACCGATAACCTGAAAAACTTACACTTCCCATTGGGTTCCATTTCCCGTAAATGTCACTCTTTCTGACTTGCTTAGGTGTAAACATTGTTTTAGGGAATTTGTCAGGATCCTAACTGGGTCATGACCAATTTTTCTTAGAGTTATCAGGGCGAAAGGTTAATACCAAAGTGGAAAGCACAATGTTTTAAGTGTTATCATAGTGGGTAGTGCAATGTGATACCAGTGCATTGGTTAATGATTCTCACAGGCAGGCACTGGATGAAGGCCTATGCTTTAGTAGAATGTTTAAGAAGAAACAGACTATAAGATCACTGCTGTGCAAAATTCTTAGGGAAAAAAATTAATTTCGTAGACAGATGAAATCCATAACCCTAGACAGAATCTGTTAAGGAGAGTCAACTTTGGACAGAATCTGTCAAGGTTAGTCAACTTTGGACAGAATCTGTCAAGGGGAGTCAACTTTGGACATAATCTGTCAAGGGGAGTCAACTTTGGACAGAATCTGTCTAGGGGAGTCAACTTTGGACAGAATCTGTCAAGAGGAGTCAACTTTGGACATAATCTGTCAAGGGGAGTCAACTTTGGACAGAATCTGTCTAGGGAAAATTAACCTTGGAACAAATCTCAGAGGAAGCAACAGATACTTTCTGAAGATGGACTTTCTGTCCTCTGAACAGCATGGCCTGGGGTGTGGACTCACTCTGGCAGAGCAACATATCAGCAGAGTGACAACCATGTGCCGCAGCACGTCTCAGATCAGCAGAGTGACAACCATGTGCCGCAGCACGTCTCAGATCAACAGAGAGACAACCATGTGTCGCAGCAAGTCTCAGATCAGCAGAGGTGACAACCATGTGCCGCAGCAAGTCTCAGATCAGCAGAGTGACAACTATGTGTCGCAGCAAGTCTCAGATCAAAAGAGTAATAACCATGTGCCGCAGCAAGTCTCAGATCAGCAGAGGTGACACCCATGTGTCGCAGCAAGTCTCAGATCAGCAGAGGTGACACCCATGTGTCGCAGTAAGTCTCAGATCAGCAGAGGTGACACCCATGTGTCGCAGCAAGTCTCAGTTCAGCAGACTGACAACCATGTGCCACAGCAATTCTCAGATCAGCCAAACAAGAAACAACCAGAACCTCATTGAAACCATTTCCCTGGACACTGGCAAAACTATGAGTGACGGATACCGGTAACTGTCCAGTCTTGACCTGAAGATAATGTACCTATGTGATAAAGAAGGCCAGTGACATGGCTTGTCTTATGATGAAACACAACAAATATCACACACAACATGCATCTGTACAGAAGACAGCCCCACAAAAACATATTCAACAGATAGACAGAAGCCAGGGAAGGTCTTGCCTGCTGTGCAAGTTATAGCTATATAACAGAAACAAAAATTCCCATAGAAAAAATGAGCACTCATCAAAGACTGAGAAAAACATCAGCACAAACACTGATAGCAATCCAACTGGTGTTGGTGCTATTCTGACACCCTGTTTTAGGGCTGGGATCTCTGCTGCAAAAGCATTTACTAGTTGGTTTATACCATGTGTCAATTGTTGTGCACAGATACAAGACAAAGATGGTAGCACTATCAGCACACGATTACACAGCACACACAAAGCACCCAACAAGACTGATTACTCACACAAAAAGACTGAGCATCCAACGTATATAGACAAAAAAAAGGCGAAAGGTCAAGAGAAAATGACATCCTTACCTGTCCTGAACCTTCCACAACTTCATCCACAAGTTCATCATGCTCATCCGCATACTTATCCACCAATGCAGAGATCAACCTGCAGCGGTCTGACCCACAGGCACATGGGACTGGGTGGTCTGTAGAGTCATCGGAAGCATCACTAGTCTCTCCATCATCATCATCACTTTCATCAACAAGAGTGACAGTGATGTTATAATGCCTCTTGTTGCTGCTGCTCTGTGACATCCTCACCCGACAGCACAGATCCACACCTCCTTGCACCAGGATTGTTCTCGGGAGGAAGACAACAGTCTGCTTCCAGTGGGTAGGCAGATCATGAGGTCCAGTCTTCAGCAGCACACTGGATATTGTTGCTGGGGCTTCCTGAGAACTCTTCTCAACACTGTGCAATGAAACATAAGGGTCTTTCAAAAGGCAACCATCTCCTGCGTCATGTACATCTCTGCTGTCAGCTGACTCATGTGTCAGAGTCACATGACTCTTACTGGCCGCGTCACAATCTGGATTAAATTCCACATTAAACCATGCAGCAAAGCCAAACACTTTTGAGTCCTGCCTCATAGGGAACTTGAGAACTGTGCTTATCGTCTGTATGTCCTGGGCTGTGACTGTTTTCAAGTTGAGGTTAATAATTTCTTGAGGGTCGGCACATAAAACATTGGGATTTAAACTGGTTATTAAAGGTTTAGTTACTTCCTCCATGTTGATTTGTGAAGCCACCGGGGAAAAATCAAAGCCATAAATGTTGCTCCATTCATCAGCACGGTTTTGGAAGTGGTCACTCATGTCAACAGGAGCAAACAGAAGAGATGCATGTGACGGTAACATGACACCACCTGGGGCCAGGAACCTGTCCCTGGCAACTATGACCGAATCAAGCATGGATTCATGCAGCAAGTAGAAGCCCATCCACTCTGAGATGATGACATCCACCTGCCGGATGTCGCTGGGAAGGGAGATGGTCTCCACAGTTCCATGTATGACCTCGATAATGTGATTCAGGTTGTTTTCCTGGACAATTTCTTGGCACAATCTGGCCACACTGCTGGCTTCTACAGCAAGTACTTTTTTGGCTCCAGCTAGGAAAGATACAAATGAGGAATAAATATGATAAAATCAACTGCTGTAACAACCACAAAAGAATGGGAGATACATCTTAATTTTGTTTTTTTTTTCCACCTGGAATTAATTTTCTTCTTCTTCTTCTAACATCATTCACCCCAATCTAGTATAGGCCTTCAACCAACTCATTCACCCCAATCTAGTATAGGCCTTCAACCAACTCATTCACCCCAATCTAGTATAGGCCTTCAACCAACTCATGCCATGTTATTCTATCCTTTGCTACTGCATGCAGCTCGCCGCATGTCCTCCCCATCTGTATAAAATCAATCCCTATCTCCCTTCTGGATGTGTTTATTTGTCTGCTTTTAATTCTATGCCCCTGTGGGTTCCAGTGCAAAGACATTCTAGCTATACTGTTCCCAGATTTTCTCAATGTGTGTCTTATCCAATGCTAGCGCCTTTTCTTCACCTCTTTTTCCATTGGAATGTGTTTAGTTCTCTCCCAAAGCTTGACAGTAGTGATTCTATTACACCCTTCAATTCCTTCTATTCTGTGCAGGCACCAGTTAATGAATGTTTGTAGTTCACTGGTGACTGTTTTAGTTGTTTTTCATGTTTTATTAATCATCTTATAACAGCAGTTTTGTTTCCTGTCTGAACTGTGTTCTCTTCTGCAGGCTTTCATAGAGTGTTACCACTTAGGCCTGTTTCATTGAGTCATGGAATGGGCCTGTCAAAGTTGTCTTTGGGAGCAGCAGCTAGCTAAGTGGTTACAGAGCTGAGCTCTCACACAGAAGACCTGGGTTCAATCGACAAACTGAGGCTCATGATCCCCCCCTGTCCTACACCAGACTAGAAATGGTATATGCGGGCAGTAAAGATGGTCTGGCACAGCGTCGTAGAGGTGTTTGCCACATATATATATATATTGTCAGTGTCCAGTTCTGTTATGGGATGAGTAGGTGTGATGATAGTGAATCATCATGTATGAACGAGTTGACCCTCAGTCAAACTGAGTGCGAGATCAGGCAGTTTGACCACAGAATGTGTCGGCTGAGTTGGGCCGGCACTCAACGAGTAATACGAGTTACAGCGTGTCAGAGATGAACGCTGGAGACAAACAAAAACAAAGCTCGGACAGAGGTTGTTCGGGGAGACGTGTGTAGGACACTTGGACTCGAGGACGTTTGTCGGACTGCAGCTGTAAACGTATCTTCTATTAGTGACCATTAGCAAGGATTGTATTTGTGGTTAGGCTTTAGAAATTGTGTGTTTCCCTGCGGTGTTTCGACAAGATTGTTTATATGTAATGTTTCTTACGTAGTAGAAGTTTTCATGCTGAATCTGTTAAGCAGGTAGTTAATGTTGACATACATTGTTGATGGTGTTAACACTGCCCACTCATACTTTGATCACTCACCCTGCGTGTGCCACTAAGTCTCGTGTGGCGAGGACAGCAGCTTAGTTAGCGCTGTACAAAAGTGAGGTGGAATCGTGTCCGTTGGTACATCCATGGGAATGGCTCAGGGTGGATTAGTGAATGTAAAAGCTACCACCGCCCGCGTTTCGGATTAGGGACCATTCATAGCTGTTAAGGCTTGCTTTAGGTTGAATTGCTCTTTCTACATTAAAGATAATGTGTGTACTCTGTAGGGGTATGTTTTAAGTGAGTTCTAGTGTAGTTAAGTCTGTTAGCTGGCCTACCTAATGAGCCAGAGTAAGTAGATAATAAAGTAGATCTGTGACAATATATCATCATCATCAGGTGACTTGCCGACTGGCGTGGGCGATCATGCCTCTCCATAATCTGCGATCTCCTGCAGCATGTATCAGTTTGTGTGCCAACATACCTCCATGTCATGCAACAAAACTGTCAAGCATCTTCTCTCGTTGTCTTCCTCTATCCCTCCTTCCACAGATCTTTCCAGTGGTCACAACATGTTCTATTTTCCCTCTTCTCATAACATGGCCGAAAAATGATGACTGTCTCCTTCTGATGTCTGTGATAAGTTGTCTTCGGGTTCCCGCCTCTTTCAATATATATATATATAAAAAATAATCAGTAATGGAAGTTTAGGACAGGGTAGCTGAATAAATGGATAGAGCGGTGGATCTATCAACACAAGATGAGGAACAGAAGGGAGATCACTGATCAGAGTACAAGACAGGATTTGAGGATCTATGTACCGCTTGTCAGTAACAGATCCAATATTTTACAAGAGTGGGTAATTGTAACCTATGCTAACGAACTACCAGTAAAAGGTGATGCCTACCACTGACACTTGTTTCTGGGGCATGTTTTCACCTTGGAACTGTACCTGAGTACAGGTAGACACCAGAGAAACCATGTACCTGGCCCCCAGTCTGTTCTAGCTTGTGATCAAATGTGGACAGTTTCACCTTGGTAACTTTATACACCTGATGCTGATATCACACACAGAGGGCAAAGTGCTGGCAACTAGGTCGCGACCTGATATCTTTGCCCAGGTATGGTTTATTTACACACTGACACATGTGTTTGAGTTTGAATAAGACTGGAGTATGTTATCTCACAACAAAACGAGAACAACTGTGAGGATTGATGTCATCTGCAAGTTTAATTAAGGGCAAAGTACCACAAATATTCTGCTGAAAAAGAGGCTAGAATCTAGAAGTGATAAGACTGACAGAATTAAAACTGACATAAGTAAAAGTGATAAGACTGACAGAATTAAAACTGACATAAGTAAAAGTGATAAGATTAACAGAAGTTAAATCTAAATATGAATGAGAGGCAAACTATTTGAAAATGCAGTCTAAAATATAAAATGATGAAGAGCAACTTTTACTTTTTTATATTCACAATGAACAGATAAATATGCTAAAGATGAGACTGGCACAAATAGGCCAGCATTTCACAATATTTGTACTAATGTATATTTCTTTAATTCATTTCCTGACTGAAAAGATAGTTCATCATCTTCAAAATAATGATAGTTTCTTTACAGGACTAGTTCATCCAAGCAAATGATGGATTGGCATAACTTTCCATCTTTTCAGATGATAGTGTTATGTTGTGCTATGAGGAGACATGGGACACTGCTGACAGCGATGGCGAGTGTGACTAGCAAGACCTGGCCACATTAAGAAAAGTCTTCCACAATGATAGCATGAGATTTCAGGACTGCTGTTCTCAATGTTTGTGTGTTTCGTCTCAGACGCTCAGCTCTCATCCTTTCTTCAATCATTTCTTTCTTCATTCTCATTCCCTTCCTGATGTGCCCTCTCCACACAACACGGTCTATGGCATTTTGTTTCTTGAGTCCACCTCAAGACCTGTATCATTCATATCCTGCTTGCCCACATCTTTAAATCGTAGTAGAGGTCAGCCTCGACATCTTCTACCTGTCTGTAATTCACCACAGAGGATGTTCTTAGCTACTCTGCCATCCTCTATTCTCCAGGTGTGACCCAGCCACCCGAGCCTTCGTAGACCTTTCCAATACCTCAGTATTTGTGATCTTGTCCTGCTACTTATTGCCAAGCATTCTTCTTAGGCATCACATGTGAAAACTATTTAGTTATTTCTCCCAAAGCGAATAAGTTGCCCAAGTTTCACTGCAATAAAGCAGTGCTGCGAACAGAAGCCTGGTAGACAAGAGGTTTGCAGTGATCGTGAGCTTTCTTCTAGAAAATATAATTGCAGCTAAAAATAAATTTCTACAGGGGACACAAATCTAGTAAGTGTTGTCTGTGAACTATTCTGTTCTGGTCTCTCTTAATATTTCCCCCTCCCCCCTCCACTGCAGGATTGGAGGTTGAATAGATTTGATGAATGACAGAAACTGCTGTATTGATACGAATCTATCTGTCTCACTATGTTTCTATTTATCTCTCTCACATACAAGTAGCACATGCATATACATACACTCATACACATATTCCATGCAATGAGTGGCTGATATTTTGTAGAGGCTTCAAATCTTTGAGCACTTGTGTGCACCTATTCTACCGCTGATGAAAGGGTGTACATATACACAAGAATCCGCATGCTGGCTTGAAAACTATCTGACATCCCACATTGTGCCAACAGCTTTGGGCATAGAAGGACATAATTCTAAGCTTACTCTAGGCAGGGGAAGTGCAACCTAAAAACTTCAATGTTATGAAGGGCTGACCAGACTCTGAGCCTTGTTTGGCACCTGGTCTAGAAGGCTAGTTTGGACAGGCAAACAGAGAACTGATCTTCTGATCTCACAGCTGGTACTGAGTGCTGTCTGTATTAGTGTTTACCTGGGACCATGTGGCACGGTCAGCACATAGTCTCTACAATACTGGCCAGACTGTGCTTTGGAGAGAAACATCATCGCTGGCTTTCACAGGCTGTAATTCCCCTGCCTCTCTATAACACAGTATATAAAATTATCATCTAGAAAGACAAGGGACAAATGTGGGGTACTCTGAAGATAGACTGATAGGATATACTGCAAGCAGTAATGACACTTTGGGAGACAGTAACATACCTCTTGATGAAACTTCTAGACTGCAGTTGTTACTGTGAGGAATCCAGTATAGACCCAGTCAAAGTTAACATGGACAGTTAAGCAACTCCTAAAATAGCTACACACAGCAACATCTGCACTCTTCAACTGCTGCTGGGAAAGACTGAGTACTTGTGAGCCTGTCCTGAGTGCAGTGATATTCAAGTTATTTCCTTATGAGATATTTGGTGAAAACACAACCAGTCAATTAAGTTTGCTCAGGAGCCAAAATATCAAAAATTGGAATTGATGCGGGCCTCTGTAGGCCAAATCTGGGTCACAGGCCTCTGTGGGCCAAATCTGGGTCACGGGCCTTTATGGGCCAAATTTGGCGCGTGGGCCACCAGTTGAATAGCCTGGTACAGAGTAAGGATCAGCAAACAGTCTGGATGAAATCAGAGAAAACAGACTGCTAAAGTGTACAGATCTGTTTGGGACAGCTGTCAGACAATCACTACAAATGTACAGACCTGTCTGAGACAGTGGTCAGAAAAAAAAAACACTAGATACCCACCACTGGCAGCAAACAGCGACAGTATTCCAGTTCCTGCCCCGACATCCATCACAATCTTGTCCTTAAGCAGGTGAAGATTGTCTTCAATGAACTTCCTGTACGCCTGTGTCCTTGGTCGATCTTTGAGCATGAGTTCATGGACACTGAGGTCACCGTAACCGATAAAGTAGTCATCCTGACAGGCATCATCCGTCGCCATGGTAACTAACAAATGTGAAGAAATAATAAGGAAACTAATACAGACTAGGACGATGGTCAAAGAAACTAATACAGACTAGAACGATGGTCAAAGAAACTAATATAGACTAGAACGATGGTCAAAGAAACTAATATAGACTAGGATGATGGTCAAAGAAACTAATATAGACTAGGACGATGGTCAAAGAAACTAATATAGACTAGGACGATGGTCAAAGAGACTAATATAGACTAGGATGATGGTCAAAGAAACTAATACAGACTAGGACGATGGTCAAAGAGACTAATATAGACTAGGATGATGGTCAAAGAAACTAATACAGACTAGGACGATGGTCAAAGAGACTAATATAGACTAGGATGATGGTCAAAGAAACTAATACAGACTAGGACGATGGTCAAAGAGACTAATATAGACTAGGATGATGGTCAAAGAAACTAATACAGACTAGGACGATGGTCAAAGAGACTAATATAGACTAGGATGATGGTCAAAGAAACTAATACAGACTAGGACGATGGTCAAAGAGACTAATATAGACTAGGATGATGGTCAAAGAAACTAATACAGACTAGGATGATGGTCAAAGAAACTAATACAGACTAGGACGATGGTCAAAGAAACTAATATAGACTAGGACGATGGTCAAAGAAACTAATATAGACTAGGACGATGGTCAAAGAGACTAATATAGACTAGGACGATGGTCAAAGAAACTTTGTTACATGTCACACAACCAGGATACACATTAGCAAGAGAGACTTGAATTAAGTCGAGTTCATTACTTATTTACAACTCTTTCAATCCTTGCCAAGTGTTACTTCAAATGATTTTATCCTCAGAAATTATTAAATGAACCAACTGGTCTTTCATGTTTTCCCTCCACGTCTCCTAACTGTAGGATTAATAGCTCACCGAAAAAACTGAACAGGAGCAAATTCCAGAAAACGTGAATCAACTGTTCAATTTACACTGCGGCACCCCCAGACTTTTTTTCTAGAAAATCGGTGCGAATTCCGATCCTCATGTAAGAGGGTTCAGTACCCACAGTGAATGGTCTAAAAAAAAAAAATCATTCTCATGGTTTTCAGATAATGATACGAGTGTTGAGCCATGGGAGAGAAATCTGGCCTCTCCTTTCACTACAGGCCGGTAGCTGGAAAGCCACCGATCGGCTTAGTGGGAGTTCTCTCCCTTGGCTGCATTGCAAACACGGAGCGTAAAAGTCACGAATCAAAAAAAAAAAAGTGAGGTCGGCAACAGGGCTGCCAATGCTTGGGTGTTTCCCCCAGATCTGGGTGTTTATTTGACGCTTCGGGGAAATCTGGGTTTTTTTAAAAGTAAATATATCCTTATATAACAGGGGTATTAGGTGCCACGGATGTGACTCCTGCAGATCTGTATGACCGATAAATTTGCGTGGTTAGGGGTAGGGTTAGGGGTAGCGGTAGGGTTAGGGTTAGGTGTGACAATGTTGACGCAGGAGTTCCAAATAATCGCAGCACAGTCACATACACACCCAAACAATCGAAGGACTGTGGATGCTACTCAAGCGGACAATTCGCCACAGATTGGGCACCAGCTGCGAGCTATTGCCGTCATATTTGGGAGACTTCCAGTGGCGCCACTCCCACAAGCATCAGATTGTCAGCCATTATTTGGAACTCCTACGTCAATATTTTCACAGCTAACCCTAACCCTATCCCAAAACCTAACCCTAACCCAAACCCTACGCCACCGTATGATGACTACACAACCGTATGATGATAGGTAAGTATGTCATTTGATTCGTGACTTTTCCGCTCCGTGTTTGCAATGCAGCCAAGGGAGAGAACTCCCACTAAGTAAGCCGATCGGCGGCTTTCCAGCAACCGGCCTGTGTATTGAAAGAAGAGCCGAAATCTGGCCCTAGTGGATGGATGTTGTGGGCATGGATTATCCTCCGAGCCACTACCTGAAGATCTGACCTCAACATATCACAATACCTCGGTTTGGAGGGTGTCTACATTTTGTGAATCCCCGATATCACACAAAAGCCAGGGTGGGAATTCAATGTGTGCGACGAGAACGTTCAGGAAGTGGGAACAATTTTGATTTTAAGGATGGTAAGGGGTCAAGCCAAGCCAAAGGAACACAGCACAAAACAAATAACAGACAGAGAATGGTAGTGAGATGTCAACGGCTGCCGTCTCTTACCTACAGGATCCCGGCATGTGGTTGTCATATCTGACAACAATCGATTAGAGTTATCTCCCTTGGTTACAATCTCCGGTTTTTGAAACTAATAAGATTTACCTTATATGGTCGCTGGTGCTACGGAGCCTTGCAATGAGCTCTCTTCTGTTATGTATTTAGGGCAATAGGTGGAAGGGATATATTATTGTCGGGGAGGGGGGGGGTGATCGTTAAACACAATAAGTTTTTCCCTTTCGGGATTGTAAGTAATAAGAATCAGCTCCTGAGGCATATTGAGCTAAACCTATATTTTATATACCAATCTGCATTCGGTGGCTGATGTCGTTGGCTGCCTTCATTTCCCAGGACTTTTACCTGATGCCCATTTTAAGGCCGGCTCGATCCTTGATCTTCGTATTCGCAAACCCAGTCGAGCATCTAGCCAGCACACTACGACAGATCCCAAGTATGGTAGACATGAACAATCCTCTTCACTATAGATACAGTAGGGTAGACATGAACAATCCTCTTCACTATAGATACAGTATGGTAGACATGAACAATCCTCTTCACAATAGATACAGTATGGTAGACATGAACAATCCTCTTCACTATAGATACAGTAGGGTAGACATGAACAATCCTCTTCACTAAAGATACATTATGGTAGACATGAACAATCCTCTTCACAAAAGATACAGTATGGTAGACATGAACAATCCTCTTCACTATAGATACAGTAGGGTAGACATGAACAATCCTCTTCACAATAGATACAGTATGGTAGACATGAACAATCCTCTTCACTATAGATACAGTATGGTAGACATGAACAATCCTCTTCACTATAGATACAGTAGGGTAGACATGAACAATCCTCTTCACTATAGATACAGTAGGGTAGACATGAACAATCCTCTTCACTATAGATACAGTATGGTAGACATGAACAATCCTCTTCACAATAGATACAGTATGGTAGACATGAACAATCCTCTTCACTATAGATACAGTAGGGTAGACATGAACAATCCTCTTCACTATAGATACAGTAGGGTAGACATGAACAATCCTCTTAACAATAGATACAGTAGGATAGACATGAACAATCCTCTTCACTATAGATACAGTAGGGTAGACATGAACAATCCTCTTCACTATAGATACAGTAGGGTAGACATGAACAATCCTCTTCACAATAGATACAGTAGGGTAGACATGAACAATCCTCTTCACTATAGATACAGTAGGGTAGACATGAACAACCCTCTTCACAATAGATACAGTAGGGTAGACATGAACAATCCTCTTCACAATAGATACAGTAGGATAGACATGAACAATCCTCTTCACTATAGATACAGTAGGGTAGACATGAACAATCCTCTTCACAATAGATACAGTAGGATAGACATGAAAAATCCTCTTCACTATAGATACAGTAGGGTAGACATGAACAATCCTCTTCACAATAGATACAGTATGATAGACATGAACAATCCTCTTCACAATAGATACAGTAGAGTAGACATGAACAATCCTCTTCACTATAGATACAGTAGGGTAGACATGAACAATCCTCTTCACAATAGATACAGTAGGGTAGACATGAACAATCCTCTTCACTATAGATACAGTAGGGTAGACATGAACAATCCTCTTCACTATAGATACAGTAGGGTAGACATGAACAATCCTCTTCACTATAGATACAGTAGGATAGACATGAACAATCCTCTTCACTATAGATAAGTAGGGTAGACATGAACAATCCTCTTCACTATAGATACAGTAGGGTAGACATGAACAATCCTCTTCACGATACAGTATGGTAGACATGAGCAATCCTCTTCACAATAGATACAGTTTGGTAGACATGAACAATCCTCTTCACAATAGATACAGTAGGGTAGACATAAACAATCCTCTTCACAATAGATACAGTAGGGTAGACATGAACAATCCTCTTCACAATAGATACAGTAGGGTAGACATGAACAATCCTCTTCACTATAGATACAGTAGGGTAGACATGAACAACCCTCTTCACAATAGATACAGTAGGGTAGACATGAACAATCCTCTTCACAATAGATACAGTAGGATAGACATGAACAATCCTCTTCACTATAGATACAGTAGGGTAGACATGAACAATCCTCTTCACAATAGATACAGTAGGATAGACATGAAAAATCCTCTTCACTATAGATACAGTAGGGTAGACATTAACAATCCTCTTCACAATAGATACAGTATGATAGACATGAACAATCCTCTTCACAATAGATACAGTAGAGTAGACATGAACAATCCTCTTCACTATAGATACAGTAGGGTAGACATGAACAATCCTCTTCACTATAGATACAGTAGGGTAGACATGAACAATCCTCTTCACTATAGATACAGTAGGATAGACATGAACAATCCTCTTCACTATAGATAAGTAGGGTAGACATGAACAATCCTCTTCACTATAGATACAGTAGGGTAGACATGAACAATCCTCTTCACGATACAGTATGGTAGACATGAGCAAGTCACAATAGTACAGAGCTAGACCAATCCTATTTCACAATAGATACCAGACATGCATTCTGTGGCTGATGTCGTTGGCTGTCTTTATTTCCCAGGACTTTTACCTTATATCCATTTTAAGGCCGGCTCGATCCTTGATCTTCGTATTCGCAAACCCAGGCGAGCATCTAGCCAGCACACTTCGACAGATCCCAAGTATGATAGACATAAAAATCCTCTTCACAATAGATACAGTATGATAGACAAGAACAATCTTCTTCCGCTGTGTATCTCCTCGTTTGTGGCTTAGGCGTTGCGAACGAGCTTCGTAACGCCAGGGTGCGGGCTTTGATCCCAGCAGCGGACGATCTGTCTTGCTTTGGTTTCGATAGTGGTACCGAGAGTTGACCGTTCATAGAGCAATGGCAAACTACTGAACGTAAAAATTGCCTAGAAAACCACAACAGCCAAAAATGCTGGGGTTGGTTCTGCAACGTCCTGTAAAGGATACGCAACTAATTTTTTTAACCGTGTATCTCCTACAGAAGATATATACCTTGGATTGTGCAGCTAGCTTTCTATGATGCGGGAGCCGTTGTAGTTTAGCGGCTAGACGCTCGCTTACGGATGAATGACCTTGGCTCTCCCAGGTCGACCCATCCTTGAAAAGGTATCGGGTATAGTCATGGGAAGTAAAGGCAGCCGGAGTGATGCCGAACTCATCACCCATCGAGTGCAGATTGGTCTAGCCCTAAGGCGTGGAACAGGGCACTTTACTATGCCCGAGGGCGGGTTAAAGGAATATTTTCCTACTTTTACTTCTTCTATATGAAGTCACAGGCCAGCATTCCATAGTCACCTCACAGGCATGCGCAGAAGGTGACAACGTTGCTGTCCTTAGTTTCCCTTACAAGCTAGGGTAAGTAAAACAGTAACAGTAATGAACCCTTGTCCACGCCTTTAGGCGTATAGGGCATATAGGGCTAGACCATATTTTTATAGACCAATCGGCACAAGATGGGTGATGTGGTCAGCATCACGCCGGCCGCCTTTACTTTCCCGGGAATGCACCCGGTAAAGCTAGGGTGGAACCGTTCAAATGACGGCCCGTTGGTCAAACCACGTCCGGCTGTATATTTATATCTAAAGTTGGCCGTGGTGAAACCTGACCCGGGGAGGCCTACGGGTCATTGCCAGGTGTATATTTTCATTGATCGTTCTATTCTAGGGCTTAGGCCTCTGGTCAGTGTCGACCCCAGTTCTGTCCCTGGGTCAATGTAGCTGAATAATCCTGCAACATGATCACTCCTCCATGTGTCGAGGGAGGTAAAAGGTTTTGCTTCTGCCTGAGAATTTCTCTGATGTTATCTTTCCATCCTTGGTCTACCTTGCGCAGTCTTCTCTTCTCTTTCAGTGGGCAAACCATTTGATTGGCTGTCTTTGTTGTATGTAATTTAGAATAGGCTCTGTGCCAACCTGTTTTCCATGACCTCCTTTCTTCAAGTCACCCCTACAGCCATTCAGAATTACTAATCTTCTTTTACGATTTTGTGTCTGGTGTGCCTGTATGTGTGTGTGTGTGTGTGAGAGAGAGAGAGAGAGAGAGAGAGAGAGAGAGAGAGAGAGAGAGAGAGAGAGAGAGAGAGACCATGCCTGGCACCACAGAGTGGGAATAAATATGCTTTGTGTGTGTTTCCTTGTTGATCTGGGTTGATTTATCTTAAAGGAGGCTACCTGTCCCAATACGGCTAGACTAACATATTTACCACTATACTTCATCATCCTGTTAATACGGCACCTAGCGTTCACCCTTTCACTACATTCTATCGTTTCAATGCCATGTATGGCATCTAGTCTGGTCCGTCTCATCAATGTTCACTGCAGGGTTTTTCTGGGATGTCCTCACACCTTTACATATGTTCCCCTTTCGAGTGCCTGTTTCATGATTCTTCCCCCACTTCTCCGTATGACATGTGTAATATATCAAGACATATTTGTCTTAAGACTTTTAAAATACATCAGCACTTGCTCAGATGTTTCTCTGTATTTACTGAATTCATTCATGTCTAATTTTCATGCGGCATTTATTTTTATATGTAATGGTTCTCCAGCTGAGATTGGTTAAACCTGAAATGTCAGAATTGATCTGTTAACTGATTTAAAAACTGTATCATTTAGCGTTTCTTTTAGGTTTGCCTTACCACAGTGTATCATGATTTGTTTCTCCTTGCCATCAGTATATCATGATTTGTTTACCTGAGATGGTTGTCTTACTGGCTGTCGAAACAACCATTCCAATACCCAGTTCCCCTCCTTTCTAATCTGGGTTAGGGATTGGCATGCCATAGGCAAAATCTTCATTTTATTACTGTCACTAAATATACAAAATTTTTTATTATATATCAAGCAACATCAGAGAATAAATAAAAAAGGTAAGACGCAAGAGGTCAAGGTCATGTTCACAAATATCATCCAGTGAAGCACTTGTATATGATTAGCTAAACATGGACAACACTCAATAAAACTGGTTTCACTTGTATATGATTAGCTAAACATGGACAACACTCAATGAAACTGGTTTCACTTGTATATATTTGATGAAAATGCAGTCGGGCAACACTCAAAAAAACTGGTTTCACTTGTATATATTTTATTAAAATGCAGTCGGGCAACACTCAATGAAAGTGGTTTCACTTGTAAATATTTGATGAAAATGCAGTCGGGCAACAAGTCCATAAAATAACAATGATAATATCGTCCATACAAAACAAGGACAACAACTCCAACATCACTACTGATAGATTTAAAAAAAACTGCCAGCGTAATAATGGAATTTACAATGTATACACAATGCAGATAGATATATTTTCCATGAGATACACAGTTCTCCATATTTAAAATAATAATAATCAGAATTGATGCCCTAGTAATGCATGGTTATAAAAAGAATAATAACAACAACAGGTTAACAAAAGCTTACCATCCCACCATATTTGCAATTACTGTAAATACCTGATAACAGCATGTTCAAGATAATACACACATACACAGTTTGGAAAATGTTATTAAAAGACATGAAGTTAACAGGAAAATCCCATTAATGGAATGTTATACAACACATAAGGTCAGCTGGAATGTTCAGATAAAAGTTAACATAGTTTACAATTTGACAGACATCTAATGAGTCAGGTTACAACTATAGTTACGTGAAGCTGGCCAGCTCTAACAATAACAATCAGAAGTGACAGAATAGATGTTGAGACTCGGATCTGTCCTTTGCAACTGTATTTGTAAAGCTGAGCCATTATGCTTTAATCAGTAAAATTATGTTTTTACATCTTTACAGCAGATTAACCAATGTAACTGACAGAAATCTGTGTACAAAACACACAATTGGAATAACACAGCTATTATTATAGTTGTTTATCACTGATTCGCTAAATTGGCAAAAATGTGTGTATTGAGGTAAAAGGTAATTAAATTCTGCTTTTCTTGCAAAATATGCAAGCTCATCATCATAATATACCATGACAAAAGGCACAAACAATTGTGTACGTAAACACTGTACTCTGTTCTTCAGAAGTTTTACAACAGTGTTCTTCAGTGTGTAGGCCACACCCAACTGGTAGGCTGGTGACAAGACCACCCCCCCCCCCTTTTCCCACCCAAAAAAAATTAGGTTTGGATTTGTGTGTAGAATGGGAAAGAATCTGGCAGCATGGCAGACCAAGAACCAGGCCACCAGGACGAGCCAGGGTCCGCTGTGAAGACAACTAAAACTACAAAAGTATGCCTGGTAGGCTAAGATGTCTATGCCATGGTAAAATATAGTTCATGTTATACTCTTGGACCAGCAGATTTCATTGGTCGGACCAAAATTCAACAAGAACAGGTCATCATGTATCATCTTTCACAAAGAGAATAATCTATGTAAAATAAATTTAGTTAATGCTTGTATTGCTTGTAGAGATTCCCTCTTCTTGGAGTATGCTCTCAAATATACAATGAATAATGTATGCATGTTTATGAATATGTTGTTAAATGTGATGAGAACTTGTTGTTGTCATACTCTTTCTTCTTCTCCTTACCGGCCAGGTACAGACAGACGGCAGCAAACAGAGAGAACCATCCCACCATGACACACATCCCGTACGACCAGGACAGCAGGTTCATGTCAGGGCGTGGCATCCAGCGCCGGTCTTCTTTGTACACTCCAAAGACAATCAGTGCTATAAAAATTGCAGCAGCTGCAGATGACGCAAAAATATGGAACAATTATATTATACAGAGAGTTAAATGTCATTAGCATAAGTTCTTTAGGGAATTTTTATTCAAGTAAAGAAAATTAACAAATGTTCCGCACACTTGAAATATTGATGGATTCTGATGTATTGAGGACAGGGAGCGGAAGGTGGGACTCATGTAGACGAAAAAATGATCTTCTAAGCACAACATGTTTCGGGATTGTAACACCTCCTGAATGAAGCTCTATGTGGAGCTAAAAGTGACAGACTGAAAGTATGTATCAAGGCTGGGGCACACCCTAACCAACTACAAGGGATAAGAACCAAGAGTCTGCTGACACTCAAGGCTTAGAGGAAGGGTAAGGTAAGGCATATAATCAGCCTGCTACCGGCATCATCAATACAGAGGCTGCTGAAAATGGGGATGGAAAGCCATTTAAATGGCTCTTCATAGAGATGCTCTAAATTTGTTTTGTTTGCTGGGAAATGAATTTGTATGGCCATGTTTTGAAAAACTAGAATTAGTGAAATAAAGTCTTTTATTTTCGAAGTCTAGCATGGTCACTGGATTAGTTTCTCATTTGTTTTTAATTAATTCAGTGTGGTGTATTTAAATTAATTCTTTCATGACTAGCCGATGCATAAACTGAACAGAGGAGGCATGTGCATTCTTAGACACTGGATAGCAGTGCTGCTGAACAAGTAAAATGTAAATAACCTTCATGTGTGTCTAACATCTTTGAATGTTGTGGATTCTAATAATTTTTGTTGTTGTAATATTGATGCTTAAACATTTGATATTTTAAATGTCTCTATATAGCCAACACTTTTTGTCCAAGAAGGTTTTAGCTTTGTCATGTTGCACTTTAGACAAAAACAAAAGGAAGCTTTCAATTAATGTTGTCAAAACCCCAGAAATAATATCGCCCTGAAAGAGTTAAAAAAAAAAAGACTTTTAAATATTTATTTAAAAAAAAAAAAAAAGAATTTGATCCCCAAAAGGTTGAATCTGATTTGTAGAATGTTGAATTGAAATAACAGAAAGTTTATTTCGATTGGTAAAAAGCTGAATATAATTTTGCAATAGGATAAATTTGATTTGCCAATCCTGTATAAGAGAGGTTGAGAGAGTTTAGTCAAGCTAGGTATCCGTTTATAGACTATAAGTTTTCATGAAAATTACACGAACAGAAAAAACAACTCACTGCACACAGCCATTCCCAGTGCCGAGCCTAAATAAACTGCAAAGTCCATGTGTTTTGGGAATAACTGAAAAACTTTCAAGGTCAGGGTTACTGATGTGAGGAAAATAATGAGCAGCGAAGCTGACACCATCACTTGAACAGAAATGAACCAAGCTGTAAAAGGAAAAACATGAGTAATTAACATACATTTGTCTTTTATCTAACATGAAGATAGAATCTTGTTATTCAAGATATTTCTCGTTTTGTCTCATGTAAACACAGACACAAGTCTCACCAGACACGTCAAAGATCTTGTAATATACTTCTTTCTGTCCTTCTGCATTCACCTTTCACAGGCAGGTTGTTATGCTGTCTTTTGGTATACAGCTAGGCTGTGATATCTGTATCTATTGACTCAATAAGTTCAATTTGAGCAAATCCTCCATTAATCACCTTCTACAACAAGCAAGTCAAGGGACAGTGGGCCTAACCCTTTCCCCTACAAGAAAAAAACACCCGGAGCCCCAGAACACACAAAGAGAATAAGTTCTGCTCGTTAATGAGATCTGATTGACCGATGCCTCTTGTATATCAACACATTACCTTATGACACGAGCTCTCTAAAGCTATCTCATTACTTATCATTCACCAGCTCTCAAGCATTTCTATCAACACATTACTTATCATTCACCAGCTCTCTAAAGCATTTCTATCAACACATTACTTATCATTCACCAACTCTCTAAAGCATTTCTATCAACACATTACTTATCATTCACCAACTCTCTAAAGCATTTCTATCAACACATTACTTATCATTCACCAACTCTCTAAAGCATTTCAATGATAACACCCAAAAAAATATGCATTATTTTTTAAATGTCATGACTTTTATTTTTATTTTTAGCTACAAAGAGAAAATATACTTACGAGGTGAAACCCATTCCCAAATGGGTCGCATCTCTGGGGAGAAGACATAAAAACAGCCGAGGTATCGCTTGCCATTATAATCTTTGTAAAAGGTGTAGTCGTTGAAACAGAACTCCCACAGGCCCAGTTTGACAAACTGAGATTTGAATTCTTCAAAGGATTCGACCCAATAAGGGCTGGCAAAGGCCACCACCATAAAGACCAAGACTTGCTCCGACAAAGAACATGCCCACAAGAGCCGTCGCAGGCGCCATGTTTAGAACTGTACCTGTTGGGTAGAGATTGCCAGGTAATTTGTAATTTAAATGTTTCAAATGATTTATTCACTGTCTTTTAAACAAATTTCCTAATAATGAGCATAAATAAGGCAATTTAGGTTCCTTTAAAAAGAAATAAGGTTCTTTTCTGTTATTTCCTCACAGATGCCCACTTTGAGATTTAGTAGGGAAATCCCCAGACCATCCCACAGTATAGAGAGGATAGGGTTATGGCTAGTGTTAAATAAATAGCGACTGTTGCTCGTCCATTATGAGTGATGAAGACCACTTTCATACAAAGTAGTAGTAATGATTATCAGTATGAAGGTGGCTGAGTAGTCCAATATGAGTCTGGAAAGTTCTTGAGCAGTGCGGACAACAGATGGAAGCCACAGTAGGTGTGGGATTAGCAGTACAATTCTTTCTAGTCTGCCTTTGTTTCTCTGTGCAACCTCCGCTGCCTGGAAGGCCGATGCACCATGCCTGAGTGACGTACGCCATCCACAACGGTCTTGTGCAGCAGTTCGCTCACGTCACTGTGTTGATGTCAAAAGAATTAAGAGCAGTCTTCAGAGTGCCTTTTAAGCACTTTTTTTCTGTCCTACCTGGCACCTCTTCCCTTGCTGGAGTTTGCCATAAAATAATCTCTTTAGAAGGCGATATTCTGGCATGTGAGCTAGGTGACCAGCCCAACGCAGCTGATAATTCTTTAGTATCTATGAATGCTAGGCAGGTTTGCCCTACCAAGCACCACATATCTGGAATCTTATATTGCCATCATTTAGCAGCTTTCTGAGACAAGGTATATTAAACTGATTCAACTTTTTAGCATGACGCAGAAACAAAGGCCACGTTTCGCAAGCGTAGAGACGTACCGAAAGTATTAAAGCTTTGCAGACCTTTAGCCTGGTCAGCTGGGAGGTACCACTTCTGTTTCAGACACTGCGAGCAGCAAACATCATCTCAATGGTCCCTCACTCTTTTCTGAAGCCACGCTGGCTCACAGGCAGGAGGTCTTGATCAAGATGCATCGTAAGACGGTTGAGAAGAATTATAGCTAGTATTTTACCAGCAATAGAGAAAAGAGAGATTCCACTGTGATTGTCACATACTTTATAGTTTCCTTTACATTTGTATAAGTGTCTGATTGTTGCATCTTTGAAGTCTTGTGGAAGTATTTCTTGCTGCCATATACGTTGGAATATTTGGTGCAATTTCTCCATGAGGACATTACCACCATTTTTGAAAACTTCTGCGGGTATCGCATCAAGACCAGAAGCTTTACCACAAGACAGCTGATCAATGGCTTTCTTGGTCTCTAGAAGAGTTGGTGTTTCATTTAGGGCGGCATCCATAGGGACCTGGGGTCAACTGTTTACAGCTTCTTCATGTATGAATAACTGTAGGTTCAGGATATTACTGAATTGTTCAGCCCAGCATTTCAGGATTGCATCGTTATCAGTGAGTGAGTGAGTGAGTGTACTTCCATCTTTGCTGAGAAGTGGACAGGATAATGGTGGCCTAGGTTTATATACTGTTTTTAAAGCGTCATAGGCCTACAGAGTCCACGGTGACAGTGAGATCCACGGTGACAGTGAGATCCAGAAAATGCACTGACAAAGGTGAGATGTTGGAAGTGCATCAAATGATGGGATGAAAATTGGAGAAAAAAAATGGATGCAGTTCTGCAGTTCAGGTAGGGGGCATACCGGTGATACTGATGCAATTATTGATATACATCCTGTAGAGCTCTGGGAGCCTACCAGTATATGCATTGCATGACATATCTGGTGCTCGAGGTAGCTCATGAAGAGGCAGGCATAGCTAGGTACCATCTTGGTGCCCAATAGCGATACCGCTGAGCTGGCTGAAACAGTGGCCATTAAACTCAAAATAATTTATAGAGTGAGCACTAACTCAGCCAGACGAATCAAAGGGTCAGTAGCTATGACATGGTTGACTCTCTGATCTAGGAAGAATTGTAAAGCTTGGAGGCCATCCAAATGTGGAATAGAGGTAACATCTAAGGTGAAGATATGGTACCTGGAAGAAGAGGGGAACCAGATCGACTGAAAAACAGAGATAGCATGGTGTAAGACAGTAGACCAACGACCAGGCGCTGCAAAAATACATTAGAGGAACTTGGATATGAGTTACGTGGGATAAGCGCAGGTGGACACGATGGGTCTGCCTGGGCTGTCACTGTCAGGTTTATGTATCTTGGAAAGCATACAGGTATGGCTTTCCTAGACAACTTTCCCTGACAAATAAAGACTAGTCCGGGCAGACAGAAGATCTTCCTGGATGAAAGTTGTGATGGTACTTTTTACTATTTTTTTGTTTTTTACCCTGCCATCCTGTGTCTGGGGTTCACAGAAAGATGTGTCACTAAGTTGCCTGTTCTTAAACTCAGCTCACTGCATCGGAGCCGCTCATTGGATTCTCAGAAGAAGTGTGTCACATGTAACAGTAACAGGTTGTAAAGTAACCAGTAACAGTTTGTGTGTGGTGTTGTACTACAACTTGTAAAGAACAGATTATGAATATCCAGTTGAAAAGTTAATGTTTAAACATAAGTATCTAAATGGTGTGCAGTTAGAAATGGTGTGTAGAGTGTAGGAGTGAGTCAAGTGTTTAGTGAGTGTGTTTCAGGTTTGACTTGGACACATTGACACACACAAAAACAGGTGACAGCAGCAGGGAATCAAAACCTGCTTAGACTCACTTAGTTAGTCTGCGTGGAATGGGAATGAGAATGCTCAGAATGATGAGAATGTGTCGTGCGAGCACATTTACAGATATCCTAAACAAACCAGCATCGTAAATCGTATATTCTGTTCACTAACATTATATACCAATGGGCAATAGTGCTATTGCTTTACTCTTACGAGCAAATTACGCAGTACAAATACAATTGCAAAAATGTTACTAAAACTCTACTCGCTACCTACAGACGGACTCAACAACACTCAACACGCGTCAGAGATACTTTAGACTTATTCTAAATATATTTCTGAGCATTTAAGTAATGAACTGTAATGCTGACTTTCGCGTGATAATAATTAAAAAAAAACAGTGACATGCGCAAAAGAAGAGACTAAAAGAGTCAAAGATCTGATCGTAGAAAATGTCTCTTCTTACCTTTGAGACCTGTAGCATGTGTCAACAACTTGCAGACACCAGTCGAGATCCAGGTCAACGCAAACCAAGCCAAAGGTTCGCTTACCTCAGAGTTACCTCCTTCTAGCTCAATCTTCTCTATGAAAAGGTAAGAAAGGGTTCTTTGGCAGTGACAACCATGACTGCCATTTTGACACTTTCATCATCATCATCATGAAACAGGTCCTTTGCAGAACGTTGCTCTCATCACAGTCTGCCTGAAAGAAACTCGGTCTCTCGCCAGTTCTCCCGCCTCATGAACTTTCAGACTCAAGCAGTCACTTATATCCTGTGCCCATCTTCGTGTCGGTCGGCCCCTGCCCCTCCTTCCTGGTACCATGCCTTCTGTTATAATATTTTGGTTCTCCTTTTAACTACGGCCGGTAGACAACAGTAGACGGCCGGTTAGTCGTTCTGTCCTCTGGCTGCAGTGCAATTACGGACTGGAGAAGGCACGAATCAGAAAGTGTGGTCGACATGCCTGGCAGACCCAGCGCTGCGACTCAAATTAGCGACCACGTTCAATTACCGCTTCTTGCGACGCATTACGGAGTGGATTAGAGGGAAGGAAACAAGTGACATAATTATGGTGTGTTGCCGATAGACAGCGTGCAGTGCCCTACTGTCATCATACGGTTAGGGTTTGGGTTAGGGTTAGTGGTAGGGTGTGGGTTAGGGTTAGGGTTTGGGTTGCTACTATGAGTCTGTGCGAAGACGAGATGCGGCGACACTAACCGTAACCCTAACCCACACCCTAAACCTAACCCTAACCCACACCCTAACCCTAACCCTAAGCGTATGATTATAGCAGGGCATTGCACGCTGTCTATCGCCAACACACAGTAATTTTGTCATTTGTTTCGTTTCCTCCTGTCCAGTCCGTAATAGCAATGCAGCCAGGGGACAGAACTCCAACTAACCGGCCGTATACTGTTGTCTACCGGCCGTAGTTGAAAGGAGAGCCAATTTTTTCCCCCAATCCGTCGTGGCGCTTGATGTGACCAAATCTTCCTTGATGTTCAGATCTTTCAAGATGTCATTATTTCTCATCATCTTTGTCCAAGATATTCTGAGAATCTTTCTATAGCATTTCAGCCCAAAAGCCCTTATTCTCTTTCTAAAGGACTGAGAGATAGTCCACGACTCACATCCGTATGTAGCCACAGGGAAGATGCATGCTCTCAAAATTCTAATTTGTATCTTCTTGCTGGTGCTTAACCAAAGACTTTTAAGGCTGTTCAATCTTTGCATTGCTATGGCCATCCTCCTTTTAATTTCTGCCGAAAAGTCTCCATTGTTGTTTATAGCCTAGATATTCAAAGTTTGTGACATTTTCAATTTCTTCATCATTTATTGTTATTTTTGGTGACAGCCAGTTTTATCTGTGGACATTATTTTCGTTTTCTTTAAATTCAAGAACAGATGTTTATCTTCAATGCTTTTGGACAGACAATATTAAATTTTCTATGTCCTTTATGCTGTTCGAAAGGAGGACTGTGTCATTTGCACAGCGGAGTTCCGAAACAGGGTTCCCACCAATTTTGAGCAGATCATAACTGACACAAGTCTGTTCATTTTTGAAATTTCTCATTATATTTTCTGCGTATATATTGAATAGGTTAGTTAGTTAGTTAGTTAGTTAGTTAGTTAGTTAGTTAGTTAGTTAGTTAGTTAGTTAGTTAGTTGGGTTATCCTCATTGCACTCCAGACATGTCCATAGGTGCTCAGATCCTCCCCTCAGTATGAACCCCAACGTCCGATGGCTAATAGTACCAGTTCT